CGGACTTGTAGTGTGTATCTCCTGTATTTAAAACCAAAACAAAACCCAGTAAAACCCAAACTTCAAAATCCTTCCCAAAACCAACCAAACAAAAAACTCCCCAACAAACAAACATAATGTCTCAAAGCTTCTGTCTAATACTTCCTTTCAAGCTCCTTTGTCCTTCAAAGGTGATTTTTTTCTTAGTACTGCCACTGGGATAAGAACATCACCCCCGCTGTCCTTACAGAATATTGGTCTCTGAATCTTTCTGTTAGTTGTGGGTTTTTGTTGGTTTTTTTTTTTTGGCTGTGTGTGTGTTTGGGATACTTAAGAATACTATATCCAGTCCCCAGTCTTGCCATGCTTCAAATAATAAACTGCTACCCATTTGTTTATTTCCACAAAGTCCCGGTATTTCTGACACGTAGACAGATCTCACAGGCTTTCTGAGCCAGTTCATGTTATCTTAAAGTGTTTAGCACAATTATTTCATTACGTAGAGATCCTCCCCCTTTGTCTAAAGCCAGGAATACTGGCTTCACAATGCAGACCAAATAAAAACATTTTACTTAAAGGAATTTTTCTTAGGTTTTGTGAATATCCTGCTTTTCATCTGCTTCCCCCCAGTACACCCAGATGTAAGGGACTCTGTCACCATCATCATTGCTTCTAAGGGGTGAATGGTGAATGTCTGCAAAACTTGTGTCAAAGGCAAGGGCCTTGTGGAGTGCAGAGGAATATGTGTAACATCTGACTAATGCTCCCAGCACTGCGATCTTTTGCCCAGCTTTGCCTAAAAAGGTCCAAAGTGTGGTTTAGGGGAAGCTACCAATTGACTTTAGTGGACTCTGGATCTAGCCCTCCAACCACTTGTATGTTCTTGTATGTCACTGAGCTTTCCTGATTTGCGTGTACATCGCCGTATTGCCAACACAAGAAGCTATTAATGGGTTTAAATACGAGACAGGTTGTTGCTGCTGACATCCATGCATTCTTTTTCAGTCCTGAAATTCCACTTGGCAGCATTAAATTCTACCCTTACATCATGGAAAAAGCGTCTGAAATCCTTTTCCTTTGCTTTTCACAGTATTGCACTAGAGCTGAAGATGTATTTGGGATTTGTAGAACTTAGTGGTGGGGAACATGAGAGAGTGATCTTTTTATATTCTAAATGAAAATTCAGTTTACATTGCATGTTCCTTTCATTTTCCCAGCCCTCCTTTCTTTTCTTCCCTTCCCCCTTTCTTGCGTTTGTTGCAGTTGCAATAGGGTGGGGGTGTTTTTGTTGGTGTCTGATGTGAACTTGTTGGCAACGAGGTATGACAGTTTTAGATCCTGGTCTTGGTGAAATTCCAGTTGAAGTCAATAACCTTAAAAGGAACAGTGTTTTTATAAAAATTGATGGTGACTACCTCAAAAAAACAGAGCAAATATTTATGTTAGTGAAAGGATCTAAAGATTACTCTATTTTGTTATCCTGGGGTTTTGAATCAAGTATCTTAGAAAATTGTATATTTAAAAAAAAAAGAGGGAACATTGTGTTTGGGTTTTTTTCCTTGACTGTGTTTACATGACTCTTTGGGCATGTTTTATTGTCATTCAGACTGTTCTGATTTCATCGCTTAGTGGTCTGTTTTTCCTGTGTTCCATGAAGTGTCATAGTCTAGCAGTACCTGTCATTATGTCTTATCTCTGAGATGCTAGTTGGAAACGTAATCCAAATTAAGGAACTACAAGCAGTTTGCTTTCATTTGGGGAAACAACATTTAATCACTGACGTTCTCTTGACTTTAGTTCAAAACTGGGGAAGAGTGAATGGAGGTTGCAGTGTCTTAAGTCCTGGGAAGTTTTTGGATCAGGCCTTTAGATCACTGCACTCCCTTCCTCCCTTGCTCAAAATCTTATATTATCCTCTCTGAAATTTATCACCTACCTGTTCTGGTTTTTTTCCCTTAAGTACCGGAATCAAAAAAGGAAAAGTGCAGATTCTGAAGCCCCTTCTCAGAACTGAAACCTGACCCTACTGCAATAACTGTGGCTGGAAAAAATATCAGATCAATCTGGGATGACTTCATCCCTCCATTAGTTGTCAAACTGCCTCTAGGAGTTTGGCTTAGTCAAAGGAGTATGGTTAGGAAATCTCAAGAGACAGGCTCCCACAGAGACAATCTGATCTTTAGGAAGAATCTCTTTGTCGATCTGGCTGAGAAATGAATGTGTGGGTGGGCAAGTGTATTTGTACATAGTGCAAATGGGTGCTGTCTGTGCATGTACGCCATTTTATACTTTCCGTTGTCAGCTTTTCTACCTTTTACAGCGCATCAAGGAAATTAGTTGAAATTTCACTCCCTTAAAACCAATTGGAGTCATTGCCACGAAACAAACAATTTTGGATAGAGTAAAAGAAAGAAAATCTATCTGCAGATGGTTCCTATCTGGGATTAGACAAAGTGATTAATTTCCATCTCGGACCTCTTTACATGGGAGGAATACTGAACAATCAGACAATTTAATATGCACACCCATGAAATATATGTACATATATATGTGTATGTATTATATTGCTTGCAAGCAACTGTTGCTGGCTGTATGTAAACAGAATGTGGTGGAGTAATGGGGTTCTAATTGTTTTCACAGGTCCGAAATCCTGTCATGGCTTCCTGCCTCTGTACTGTTTGTTGGCATTATTTATGCTGGCTCCAGGGCACTGTCTAGATTGGTAAGAAATGCACAAGTAGGAGTCCATCCTATATTACCTGTACTTTATAAATAAAGAGCATTCCCTTCATACAACGTGTTTAATGCTGTTCCTGGGTTGGGGAGAAAGAAGAGGGGTTTAAATAATACATAAGCCATTAATGGTGCTAGAGCAGTGGTCCAGTCCTACAAAGTGTAGAGCAGTATCAAAAAGCACCTCCGTGACAGTCCAAAGCACTCAGCCTCTCTCCAGAGTACTTAGTGTTTTGCAGAACAGATACTCAGTGGTCTGGACTGAAGAAGTAGGGAAGAAGCTGAAGAAGTTACTAGCTGTAACTTTGCAAAAGGGGGAGCAGGGGTATGGAATCTGTGGGAAATCCTTCTGGGAAGAGGATGAAGACCATTTCAGTGAGAGGCTTTTGATGCTTTACAGGATTTGAAAAAATAATTGAAAGTTGGAAAGAGATTATGGGAAGGGTTAGATTAATCAGTTTTATGATCCATTTGTATATCACAGTAACCTACCAAATGTTTAGAGGATATCAAATCTGCTTTCGTTAAAGTTGAATGCTTTTTACTTAAATGATAGTCTTTCTTAAAAAATTGATGACATGAATTTTTTAAAAACAGCAATGCTTTACTGCTCTTATGGAGTCTGCAAGGCCAGATTCTGCCCTACTCCCCTTCCCTGCATTCTGTCAGTGCATCTGAATCTAACTCCAGAGCCAGCTCGCTCCTGCCACCTCCTAAACCCAAAGAAGGATAAAATGGGAATTTTGGACAAAATTCTGCTTGTAGTGATTCCTTGAACATCCCAGTGGAGAGGTAGGGCAGAAAAGGATAGAAGGTCTCTATCCTCACAAACAAGGTTGGAGGCCTCATCTCAGGCCCAAGTGGTCTTCGCAAAGCAGAGGCATATGCTCAGAAGCTCCATGCTCCCAGATCAGCTCTGTCTCAGGGAGATTGCTTTTATTTCCTCTTGGTTCCTTGTCAAAGCAAGTTCCGTTGGGTTTCCCTGGCGTCAACTGAGCAAACCTCACTATGGAGAGCCCTGCCTGGAAACAGCAATAAAGCCTTGGCAGCAGGATCTTTTCTGTCTGCTCACCTGGCAGGCAGAGGAGGTGTGAATCACATCCTTTCTGCTATTTCTTCTTAGTTCCTAGTCATCCTATAAGTTACCTTGTTTCCCTCCTGTCCCTACTCTGGTCATTCAAGAGTGAGATGCACTGGAGTGGCAGAGGGGCTGGGAATGGTTTTGATTTGTATCCCAACCCTTTCTTAAGGTGCATGTCCCATTTCTGAATGGATTTTTGATGTACATGAATGGGGATTTAGAGGCCTAATTCTGTAGTCATTTTAGGAGGAAAGATAAGTAGTCTTAGGTCATAGTTACTATGTAGGGCTTTGTACTGGGGCTAGATTCAATCCTGCATAGAAGCTTTACTTACAATAACTTTGTGTACAACAGTTTTATGACACAGCAAGAAGGAAAATGGAATTTCACAAACTTGCACCTGAATTGGCTCACCTTAGCAGTGTATTTGAATGAAGTGGGTTTATTCCTAAAGCAGAAATAACGTGCACTTTTTTGATCAAATCCAAGGACACCCACTGTCAAGCACTCCTGTGTACTGGCAGGGCTACAGTCTTAATCTCTGTGCCTCTCCCTAGAGGTGCTGGCAGTCTCCCCTGCCCAGGAGTTCAGGGCTACAGATGGAGGAGGGCTGCTTAGCTCTGGACTGTGATGCATTTACAAAAGTATGCAGAGCTGCGAGGGGAGGTTTGTACAGAGACTATTCACCCTGTCTGCCCAACCAGTAAACCTTTCTTTTCGTAAGCGTTAAGCCAACTCACAAATTTAAGAAATACTCAGATCAAAGACAATGGACATATGGAGAAGTTTAGCTGGGCTAGGCAAACTGGAGCCATTGTTGGCTCCTAAACACATTCAGATGGGCCAAAAGCAGGGGAGAAGAAAGAAAAAAACCAGCAAATTGGCTTTGCAAAAGGAAGAATGTAAATTCTGCTGTCAACTTTCCTCGTGTACGATTATTTCTTGTATGTCTTATTATTGTGTCAGGCTCAGAATGCTGATGTGAAATACTCCTGGTTTCATGTTCTCAGTTGTCCAGCAACAGGGTTGAGAATTGGTTTTCAGAACCTGTGAAGCTGGGGCTGACAACTTCATGCCAGTTGTGTTTGTGTGATTTTCATTCCTTGTTCATTTAGAGTTGTTAAAAGTTACCTTGGTGTAACTGTTGTGTTTACGGATCCACCCAAGTTGTCACTATGACTTAAAATGTTTAATTAGCGATGCTTATCCAGCTGTATGCGAATGAAAAGAAAAATCCAGAAAACACAGATTTCTGAATACAAAGTCAAAATTAAGAGATATTTGCTGTTTATCTCACCTGATACTTAAAAGGCATGGACAACACTGAGAAATTAACTCATTCTCTGCTTGTGTGGTTTAAATACTGTACATGAGTGGGGAAATACTGCTTCCTGAAACTGCCTTAGTTTTTAGATGATCTTAATCAGAGCAGAGAATTGCTTCTGTTTCAGCTGTCTGAGAGACCACAGATCTGTTCTGGAGGAAGTATTATGAACCACTATTTCTGTTTGGTTATTATGAACCACTAATTCTGGTTGGTTTTGCCTGGGGCAATGGGTGTTTGATTCATTATTGTTATCGTTGGGGTTTGTTTCCTAATGATTTCATGTTGGGATGGTGTCCAGGTACATCACTGGGTATAATTTCAGCATCACTTTATATGAGCTATTACATTTCTACCCTGATTTCTGGCAGCTCTTCCTAGCAGTAACTGAAAGCAATCACCTAAAATCATCTTGCCCATGATTTTGTTGCTAGGAGTCACACTGTATTCTTAGTAGCAGTAGACAGAGATGGGAAAACTAATGAGAACTGTGGAGGCTGCAGGTATTTGAACAGAGAGGCAAAACTAGAGGCTGAAACCTGGGGCAAATCTCACCGAAGTAGCTGTGTACAAACAGACTGAGCATACAGAAGTGGAAGAAGAGTGAGCAGGGTCTGCATTTAGAGGTGCCTGTGCCATGTAGTAGTGATTGGAACGGCTCTAAGTCCCTTTTTGGAGATGTGGCATGAGTTTACAGTTTAAAAGAACAAACCAAAACCACCAACATGGGACAGTTGTCCCAAAGGAGTGCACCTTCCTATGTGTGTGACTGTTCTGGGTTGATTCAGGTGTTTTTGTTCTCTCCCAATGGCAGCCAATCCCAGTGTTCCTCACCGTGCACAACGCGGCAGAAGTTATACCCTGTGGGTTCCAGAGGTTTGTGCAGAAAGAGGTAATTGATCTGTTATTTGATACATTCAAGGAACCTCCTGTGATATAACCGCCCTGTAACAGGACACGTGATTTCTTTTAGTGTGGACGTTAGTGCCATGTGCTTTTCTAATCTTGCTGTGAGACCCAGAGAGGGATTTGCTGTTGACAAGTATCTGTATTGATGTTTTCTTTTCCCATTTAGTTTATGAAATGCTGCAAATGCATATCGACAATTTGATCTGCATTTTTAAGGCTGGCTTGGTCCTGCCTGTTTTTTTCCTTTTGAAAATTAATATCCCATCTCTCTCAGGCCTCATTTAAGAATCTCGTTGTTTGAGCTGAGAGGGAGGAGGACTGGGTCCTTAAATCTAACCAGTGTAGTATGTCTAGTGTATTGTATGATTATAGAGAGATCACGTCTCCACATGAAATGCAAGAAAAACAGTGCATTTTTGGAATTGTTTTGAATGCTTGAGAATATGTCCCAACACCTGTTAAAGTCAGGAGAATAATTCCTGTGCCCTTTAGCAAGGGCTGGGTTTGTTTCTCACAAACTGCATTGGGGATCCTTCTTTTTAGACTATGAAATACTCTTCTGATTTACCAGAGAGCTACTGTGTGAGGTAACACCAGGAAATCATTCATCACGAAGTCTTTTCTACAGTGGCCTGTAGTTTGCTGTGGAAGGGATCTTCCATTCATTACATCTGTCGTGTATGCAGAACAAAACCAAATGGCCCATGTTTGCTACTCCCCACAAAATGCAGGTCACTAAGGTTATATCTGAGGGACATAGCAGTGTGTACCATGGCGTGCCCCTGTTGCATTGTCCTCTGGTTAGTGCCCCTATCAAAGTATTTCATATTTTCCTTCTAGCTCACATGCTTATGACGCCTCTCTTCAAAAACAAAAGCACTATGGACAAGGATAATGCAAACACAGGTCTTGCTGGGAAGCTTCTGGGGAATAATTATGGACCAAAGGATTGGGAAACTCCTGAGTTTAGACCAAGACTGATTTGGCTGGGGTAGGACCTAATTAATTAAGAATACTCAATATTTGAGTACATAGAGTACACTGTTTTGGTATAGCTTGAGTGAAGTTTGAGGACCAGGCATAAAGTCTGGTTTTAGGTTTACCTGCCTGTAAGTAATCTGAAAATATAAATCAAGTTGAAGTAGGCTAATCTATAATCCTGGTCCTTTTTTAAAATTAAGTTTGCTATGCAGTGCTCAAACATAATATGCTGTTGAATGTTGCTCACTGGATTTGTAACGTCTTTGGGGCAGCTGCCATCACTTTCCTGTTTATGAAAGGGGAAAGCACTATTTCACCATTTTTATTTTTAAATTTTTAATTTTTAATCATTCTTTTCTGGTTTTACAGCAGACCTCTCATCTGAAAATCTGTAGGTAAGCTTTTAAAACTGCTTGGATTAAGACTTGTTTTGGCTCCAGCTTCTGCATTTGCTTCAGATAATGGCACACCAAAACAATGCAAGGGGCATTGCTGTGGGTGGTAAGCCTAAATTGCAACATAGGAGCAATTAAATATTTTTAAAATGTATTTTCTTTTTTTTAAAAAACAATTGTTTAAATAGATACTTCTATTTTTTATAAATAGGGGAAAAAAAATCAAAACCCCCAAAAAACCCAAAAAAACCAACCCAGAATGCCAGTCTTTCTGAATTACAAAACAGTGCTTGTAAGAATGTTTATGGAAAGGAGATGGAAACCAGGTTTGAAGTTCCAGTGAGTGATCTTAAACAGTAAGAGAAAGATAATGTGATGGAAAGCTAAAAGTGCTTTTCATAAGAAAGAAAAAGTGAGTGATAGGGAATCATTAATATTAAGCTACACAACCTACCAGGCCCCGTTGGCCCTAGTTTAGGCTTCCAAAAGGAGATAGAAGGGGATGAACAGAAGTCAGCCAGTCATGTATTAAAAGTTTCATTCTACTCCCTGGCCCGCGTGAAGAATGCATATTTGCTGTCCTCCACATTCTGTAATCTTTAGCTGTACTTGGAATGGATAATATTGGGTTGTTTAGTGTACATAGAGACGCCATCTTCCTAATTTCTTCCATTATCTGACTTACTGTGGCCTTGTTGTCACCACTGGATTATTGTCAAGGATACCAGGTTTTTTTGTCATCTTCATTGTGTCTTTCCCGATGGCCTTAGAGACCAGGAAAATAAGCTGCTAAAACAAATGTTTGTTGTTATTAATAGTGACAGTCCGCAGAAATTCCACATCAGTGTATTCCGTGTAGCCTGCAGAAACACTGACTCAGCCACAGGTTAAGAATTTATTTAGTCCAACTTGGTGGACTAGGGGAGGATTTGCGCTGTCCTTAAGCCATTTCTGGCACAATGCCACTCACTCCCACTTTGCTTTGTGTTCTGGAGTTATGGCATAACTTCTAATGGACTCACTTTTGCTGGAATTGTTCATCAAGGCAGTTCACCTTGATGAAAGAACTTTTTAGTAGCCATTCATAGCCAGAAATTGGTTGATTTTTGGCTTTCTGAAGCAGCCTAGGGAAGCCAGATGACAAATGAAGAATCATAATCCCTACCAAAAAAATCTCTTCTTCATTATCACTGAGATGTTTTGTGTTGCTTCTCTTCTCATACAACTTTGCTGTGTATGAAATACAAAGAATGCATGATGTGAAACTTAATGTTGCTGGCAGAATTTGCTTCTTAACTAGAGAATAAAAATCAAAGAAATTAAATGTCAGGGTTAAATTGAGTGGAATTGCCTGTACTTTGCTGAGAGTACAAATCCAGGTTACGAGCTTTTGGTTTTTGTGCGTGTTTTTTTTTTTTTTTTTCTCCACAGTGTGCTGTTCCTCCTGGTAGCAGCAGCGTGCCTTCCTTTATGCGACACACAGGTGAGCTCTGCTTTGGAAAGCAGGTCTGGTTAGTCTGTGATGTTTGACACCTTGTGAGCATACGAGGGATGCAGCTTTTCCTTGTTAGCTAGAGTGGGATTCCTGCAAAGGAGTTGTACGTGTTGACTGTTGCTGTGTTGCAGTCTTGCTGGTTTTAATGTGTTTGCATCATGGTGACACATGCAGTGCGGACACGCAGCTCGTCTGTGAGGGTGGTGACTGGGGAAATCGCGGTTTTAACTTCTTACAGGGCTTAGGGCGAATCGCTTAGGTTTGAATTAATTGCACATACTTTCAGGAGTTCCTACATTAACTTTATAACCACTCCACATAATTCCTGTAGCTACTGGAAAAGAAAGAGGGTACTTCCAGAGAGTGCTCAGTCTAACAAAGATCGATTGCTTGGAGGTGCTTTTCTCTTTTGAAACTCTTGTTTTAGAAGTCAGGTGGAATGAATCTAGGAACTTGTCTGGATGCATCTGATCAAATGTAGCCATCAGAAGTGCTGCACCTGCGCTAGCTCCTCTCATGGTCTGTGATGGAGAAGAGAGCCTACCTTGCTCAGAGGCAGATGCCTGTTTAAAGCTCTCTTTTGGATACTCTGCAGTTAGTGAGAGCCTTGGGGAGGGAGACTGCTTAGCTCCTGCAGGGGCTGAGGGGGAAAAGGAGACAAGACAAACACCTTGGTGATATTCCTGTGATTCTCCTGCCCCTCCCTGACTGCCAATACAAGACTGAACAGACTGGGGTCCATATTCTCAGGTTGCTTAAAATGGTGTACATACCTGAAGGAAACAGAACTATCCTTGCCAAGACTAGCTGAGAGCCTGGGTAACTGGCATGTGCCAGGTTTCTCAGCAGGACAGGAAAAACTTTCCAGTTTTCCCAGTCCTATTCTGTCGTCTTTGTAGCGTAGTTTCCACTCGCTGTGCTTGCTTTGTGAAGCTAACTGCAGGGAAATGGCGATACATATGTTTACATGAACATGCATTTATTTATGTGGATGTTCTTTATTGCAGTTTGATCCAAACGGTTATTTGTGGGCTCTAATTCACTTGGTCTGTGTGGGTAAGTCATTTTCTTTGGGAAAAAGAATTAGGAAGAGTAAATGTGTTGGAGAAATCAGCCTTATTAGGAACTTCCTGATATTTAAGTTTATTGATGTGTGAAACACTTGGAAAGAATGAAGAAGCTCAGTAAAGATAAGAAAGTGCATGCCTTTTATATCTTTTACATTGAAAACATAAACTAGATATTGCAGTCAGCTAACAGTGGATGAGAAAATGAACATACAATTTTAATCAGCACGAAGCTTTTGTGGGTGTTTTTAAGGTTGCGTTCTAAGAGACACTTATTTTTGAGGGGAGAAGAAACATTAAAAAAATAAAATAAAATAAAACCCAAAAAACCCCAAACAAGCAATAGCTTGCCATTGAAGCTTTATTGCACACACTTATTTTATTTAAAAGCTGACAACAATACTCTAAATTATCATGGAATATGCTCCCAGAGGAAGGATGTTGAAATGTTGGGAGCTTTTATGCAATCATATGCATTTTTAACAACTTTTAACAATAAGTTGTATAACCTGTCAGATTTTCTTTTGTCTTTCTCAGACTAAACATTGTTTTGGATAAATCATATAATTCTTCCCTGAAAAGCTAGAAATAGTCAGACCCAGAAAATCTGAAGAAAACAAGAGTAGTAATTTTTAACGAGGAGATTTGTGTCTTTTGGAGCAATAAGCTGGTTAGTAAGGATATTTGCTTCTTAGCTGACATACAGATTTAGTGAGTGCCTCATTCGTATGTTAAATCTTATCTGCAAATCAGGGGTGATTCCTTCTTTATTTTGTCTATTCATACTGTAAAATTTTCAGGGATGAGGTTATGCGTTTATATGTGTTTGTCTAGGAAGGTCTAGAGATCCCATTCTAGAATGTTATTAACATACAAATAAGAAATAGCAATTTTTTTTCCCTTTGGGAAATGTTATATGGTAAACACTTGCTTATTTAGATTAAAAAAAAAGCGCTAAGGATTTTTCACTTCAAATCCTTGTTTGCTGTAACAAATGATGTTACTGCTTTCTCAAAGCCTAGAGGTCTCATTTGCAAAGCACTGCTAGGTCACGGGGGTGGAAGGCTGCTTAGAATGTCTTCAGGAGGCCTCTTCTGTTCACTTGAAACGTGTAGGAAGTGCCAACATAATGTTTAGGCTCAAAATATAACTTTTTTCATTTTCTCTTGTTTTTGAGAAAAAGTTGTTAAGACTGTTGGGGTGTTTTTTATGGAATTAAATTTCCTGTCAACTGACACAGAGTAAAGATACTACAAGAAAGAGGAAACAGGTGAACTAATCAGTTAATCAAGACAGAGCATTAGAGAAAGGACACGTGTTCTACCCTTCGGCTTGGAGGCAAAATTGAGGACATCTATTACACAGTGGTCTACTGGATGTGCTTTTCATGTTCTGGTTTTCTTTGTGAGTCAAAAAAAAAAACAAAAAACCAACAACAAAGCCTTGAAAAAAGGGTCTGGAAGAACAGAGCCTGAAGCTGTGTTGTTCCTTCCTTGAGTGCTTAAAGCTTTTCCCAGAATAGAAATGGGAGTTAACCAAGAGGTGAGTAGGTCAAGAATGTGAAGAACCTGAAGATCCTAGAGCTTAGAGAATGCTAAACAGGAAAAGATGTCTCAGAGCCAACAGATGTAGGGATCTGCATAGCTGGACACATCATAGAAGTTACCCAAGGAATGGGTTGGGCTGAAGAACCCATTCTGTGACACTTTCTTGTATGTATTTACACACACATACACACACGTGCTTCTTTGTAGTTGCCATGAGCTGGGAGTTGTCTCTTCTTCAGGACTAGCAGAAACGTATAGCGTGATAGCACTTTGAAAACCATTAATTTCAAGCAATAGGTTCATTTTAGTCATGGTTTAGGCATCCTTTGTGCCGTGTTGCCGAACTGTAATTCAGAGGGGTTCCACGTATGCGGGTGCTGTGGCCAAACAAGCTGTTGTTTGTCAGGATGATTGCATGCTGTGGCAATTACACGTGTCATTTCAATTACAGGGGCTTACAGAGTGTTTTGCAAGTTATGGAAACCTAGCTCTTTAAGGTAATGTGTTCTCATATTCTTTTCAAAAGGAAGAGATTGCTATCAAAGAGGGTTAGAGACACATCTGCGTGGCAGTCAGGTAAACTGTAGGGATCGCTGTTATCAGCATGAGCTGGGCCACTCTTGGTTAATCATTAATGACTTCTCTTGCGAGAGGAGCCCTATTTATTTTTGTTAACAATAGCATGTGGTTATTGATAGTTATGCTGCTAACCTGAACACTGAATTAGTTTTAAACAGTGTATTATCAAAGGATCATGACTCAGTCCTGGAAAAAGAACCCCTAATTACTGACACAGGCATTAAGAGGAAATGTTAGTTTGTGTTAGCCTTGCATGGTTTGAATCTGACAGTATCTCCCTTTGCGACAGTCTGGAAAGTGTTTAGGAGCCGGTGACTTGCCACAGGACTGGAATGACCTTAAAAACCTTGAAACTTTGCACTAATCCCATGTGGTATTAGAACTTCAGCCAGACAATATTTGTTTTGAAAGCAGGAGGCATTACATGTTCACAGTGTCTGTAATCTGCAGTTGACTGGATGGATGGAGGTGGATATGAGAATATGAATAAGCTCATTTATTTCAAAACCATTTTTCCATCTCTGTTTAAAAAGATCTAAATATTAGTCTCTCTTTATTTTCACTTTAAATGAGAGTCCTGCTGACAGAGTAACTAAGAGAAATAATGTGTAAATGATATGTAAATGAATGTTGATTAGTATATTGATAATATCATATTAATATGATTATAATGTATATAATAAAAATATGTTAGCATTGCTTAATTATAACATTCTATCGTACATTATACAATATTTATATTATGTCATTTACAGCATAAGAATAGTACTTAATATACAAATCTCTTATACCAAGTGAACTACATTACTAAGAGAACACCTTTTTTTCTTTCCTTCCTCTCCCAGTGACCTGGACCAACAGTACATCAACTATGTATTCAGGTAAAATGAATAAGCCTTTGATACACCATAGCTGGTTTTATGTGGTGTACATTCTCATTTTCAACTGCGATTTTCAGCTGCGGCTTGTTTAGGAAACTTATAGCTACCACTACTCAAATGTATTTATTTAGCAGGATTTCACTGAAAGAACAGTGCTAAGATGAATGGCTTAGCAGCTGAAATTTTTTGGCTCTGGTTGTAAGTGAACATGCCAATATACACCTGGGGAGGTAACGAGGTGTTAATTATGAATTTTCTTAATCACCATGTGCACAAGTGGTCTGTCATTTCCAGAAATAATATTTACAGGGTAACTCCCTGGCAATACCCCATTTCAGAAAATAAAACTTGTACAAAATTGCCAGAAGGGGAGGCAGTGATTACAACAGTACGATGTGCAAAGAACATGAGCAGTAACCGATTGTTCAGCATGCCGTTAGTGGGATTGAGTAATTCAGACTTTCAGTTGTTTTTCTGATTTGGAGATATAAAAATTACTTGGTACTTTGGAGTTAGTGAAAGAGCCTGTGTCACTGACCAGAATCCCTTGCTTTTTTGTTTTGTTTTGTTTTTGTTTAAAAATGTTTTTAAAAGTCAGTCCTTTACTCAAAGACCCATATAAGCCAGAACAGTTGGGGTGTGTGGCTTCTGCTAGATTTTTGTATGTTGGAAGGGGGCTTTTCACAAGGGCCTGTAGTGACAGGACAAGGGACAATGGCTTTAAATTGAAAGGAGGTAGATTTAGATTGGACATCAGGAAGAACTTCTTCACAGAGAGGGTGGTAAGGCCCTGGAACAGGTTGCCCTGAGAAGCTGTGGATGCCCCATCCCTGGAAGTGTTCCGGGCCAGGCTGGATGAGGCTGTGAGCAACCTGGTCTAGTGGAAGGGGTCCCTGCCCATGGCAGGGGGCTTGGAACTGGATGGTCTTTAAGGGCCCTTCCAACCCAAACCATTCTGTGATTCTATTTGAAGTGAGGCATCTAGAGTCTTTACTAGATTCTCCTCCATTCATAATCACATCTTGTGATGTTGACTTTTCTTGGAATGATAGCTGAAATCGTATGGGAACACTATGGGGTACGGATACTAACTTCTAAGAATGGATGGTCAAAAGGAATGAAATCCACAAATCAGTTTGGGCAGGAGCAGAATGGAGAGCAGAAGTTAGGAATAAGCATAACAAAAGTGAAGTTGTGCTTGTTCATTTGATTAGATGGATGTTTGTTCTTGTCTGACCACATCAAAGATCCTTGATAGGAACACATCAGGGACATCAGTGTAGGACCGTTACTTCTCTTCAATTCCCATTTGTCTAGTGAGCATCATCAACATGATAATACTGTGTACTTCTTTCTATCCTCGTACAATCAAAGCTCCTATTTTCATAAATAAGTATTGCAGGCCACTGATTTGGGGTTTATATGATTCCAGTGTCTCTCCACTGGGGTTCCATGCATCAACAACATCTGAATATCAGTTTGCTTGAAGCCGGCTCTTGTTTAAGTCAGTTGTTGTTTTCCATCTACTATGAAGTGCAAAGGAGATCAATTTTACTTAAAGAAGGTAGTTGTGTTTATTGAAACTGTTTTGAAGAATTAATCCTGGAACTTGCAAATATGCGTCTGTGTGCAGAAATAACCCATGAAGCCCTGAATGAGCTGTAGCTATTTGCGTTGCAGGCAGAATCATGAAACAAGCAGTAAAATCAATTGATATTTTTATTTGGCACCTGTCTGACAATGACTGTGTTGTAATTTTAGTTGAAAACTGCAGCTGAGCCTGAACCTTTAAATTCAGATTTTGGCTGAAGGTCTGAATTTTGCAGCTTTGATTGAGAAGTCAGGGCTGGGTTCCCTGCTGCGTTAGTTGATGGTATCCTTTGAAGTCTGTGAAGTTGTGTCCAGCAGAGAGCAGGAGTTCCACATAACATGGAAAGTATGATTATTGATTTAGAGGCTTTTGAAAGGGAGAAACTTCTCTCTAAGGAACTGTGAGGTGCATTGGTATGTATTTTAAAGCTGTTATTTAAAAAAAAAAAAGTAACTTTGCAAATTGGAAGGTATATTTTTTTAGCATTTGCAAATGCTAAAAAGCAAAAATGTGTTAATCAAAGCTTGCAAAGATGTTCATCATTAAAGGGCTTGAAGGTCAGTGTAGCTTGTGCAGTGATGGTGTAGAGCAATCGCTGGAATACAGGTGGCTTAGAAGACAGAAGACTGCATGCTTATTTGTTTGGCTTGGGTGTGTGTATATATCTATATGTGTATGTATATATATTTCTATGTTTTAGAGAAACTTGTGGTCCATAGCATTAGGACCTCATCTTGACTAGGGAAAACAGTACCATGGGCAATGGGAAAAGTGACATCTGATTTCTTCTAGAGTTTTGTTTTGTCAAAATAGCTGATGATGTTTGGAAGGGTGTGAAATTTGGTGGAAGCTCTGTGGTAGGTTAACCTTGGCTGGAGGCCTGGTGCTCGCCCAAGCTGCGCTATTGCTCTCTTCCTCAGCTGGACAGGGAAGACAAAATATGATGAAGGGCTCATGGCTCGAGATAAGGTCAGGGAGAGATCTCGCACCACTTAACTGTCATGGGCAAAACAGACTGAGCTTGGGGAAAAATTAATTTAATTTATCATCAATCAAAATCAGAGTTAAAAAAGAGAACCAAAACCAAATCTTGAAACACCTTCCCCCTACCACTCCCTTCTTCCTGGGCTCAAATTCACTCCTGCTTTTCTCTCCCTCCTCCCCCTGAGCTACACAGGGGGATGGGGAATGGGGGT